CATCTAATTGGATATTTTCAACTTCCTTCTTTTTCACCAAGGCCATGTAGCATTCTCAGGCTACACGCTGGTCTCCTCGGACTACTCCAATTCCGTTTTCTGTAAGAAATTTCATAACAAGGTGGTAGGTAGAAGGAATGGCCCTCATGGAGTTAAGAGAGGGTCTTCCAAGCAGGATGTTGTATGCAAAAGGTGCATTAACCACTAGGAACCTTACAGTAGTGGTGGCCTGGCAGGGAGGGTCACCTAGGGTGAGCACGAGTTGGATTGATCCCAGGGGCAGCACCTTCTCCCTTGAGAATCCCAACAAATGAGCACTTCCTGTGCTTCATCAGTTCTGATTCTATCCAAGTGAGCTTTCCTGACTGAGTTGGACTCCTTACCTCATGCAAATCCCCTAGATATCACTCGAATTTCCCCTAGTGGTTATTGATGTTGCACAGGGGCTTGCTACCGAGGTGCCGAAGGTGGTGCAACTCGGTTCTAATTATCATGGGCAACAAAGCGGCACAGCTACCCTCATTGAATCAAGAATTCAATCTTTTTGTTTAGTTAGATGCAATCAACGATGTGGTGACCATGATCCCAATAATATTCACTGTACTTTGGGAGATCTCTTTTTGCTGGATCCATCTTCATTCGAGGTGACCACCTTATAAACTTCTCATTATGTACTTCATACAAGATCTGGGACACTGTGGCAGTGAGAGGGGTGAACTGCCGAGGGGCATACTGATTAGTAGTTAAAATTAGCATATTACTATGCTCTTTTAAGACTAATTATTACTTTAATGGAGCTTAAATGATGGCATTTCAGGCTGTAAATTATACAAGGGACTAAAGGCGATGAATATCAAACTTTCATGCAACACCAACATATTCTGGAGCAAAATTGGAAAAGCTTGGACCAAGCCAACCAAGTTCGAACACCAACTAACATTCGAACGTCCACTTAAAGCCCAGACTGCTAAGAGATGGCGTGTTGCAGCCAAGAAAGAAGACTCTGAGGTACTTGAATGCCACGTTCGAATGTCAACTTACGTTCGAACGTCCACTTGATTTGATTGAAGATCAGAGTGATGAGTACAAAACGCCAAGTTCTGCATGAAGTGTGGAAGTGGGTTTCCACAAAAGACCACAAACCACTTGAGTGATATGGTCAAACCTCATCTAGCGTTTGAACGCCCCTAAATCAAAGACAGAAGACACGTTTGAACGTCAGACAACATTCAAACGTCCATAAAGCCAAAACAAAAACAACGTTCGAACGTCAACTCACGTTCGAACGTCCTCCACAGACTGCCTGCAGAGTAGTTGATTTTTACATAGACTTGGGTGACATACACTATTCATTCATCCTCTCTTATCTTCTTCCCTCCCCTTCCTTACCTATAAATACTCTCATTAGGGGAGCTTCAAGGGGTGCAATTTTTCTCTTGTAAAGTAGGAAGCTAGAGCTTGATTAGTAGGCTTAGACTACACCAAGAACTAGTAAGGAATATGTATGGAGGCTTAGACTCCCACTCATTTTGATTAATCTTAGATGTATATTATATTTACTTGTATCAAGAGAGTCAGTTCATTTCTTGGTTGAGGAAGCAACCCTCCACTTGTTGGTTGAGGAAGCAACTCTCCATTTGTTGGTTGAGGAAGCCACCCTCCAAAAGTGACTAACTTTCTTCTACTTTCATTGTTTATGTTTTCACTTCCATTGCTTAAACTTCCTTCCTCCTTACAGGAGTGAAACTCTTCCACTTTTCTAGAACTTTACCAAAGCCGTGAAAGGCGGAACGTGATTCACTTATTCTTTGGTGAAGATCGACTCTTCGCTTATTGTACTTTACCTTGTAAGTTCTCTACTTGGAAGGATAAATATCACTCACTTTTCTAGCTTTACCCAAACCATGAAGAGTGAGTAGTTCTTCATTCACTCTTTAGTAAGAGGTGTTGAACATGTATTGATTATCCGGAAGTTATATTTGTGCATTTTCTTTATGCTTTAATGCTTTATATTTCACTTACTGAATGATTGAATGCATCTAGAAAAGCTAAGGTACTTTGTATAACTATGGGTTCTTTTTATGTCACGGATAACTCTTGCATGGAAAGACCCGTTGGTTCAAGGCAAGTACCCCGACTAAATCTTCATGACACATTTCAATCTTTACTATTATAGTACTTTATCTAAAGAATGGAACATTAATGTCATGATTGGATGCCTTGTAGAAACACTTGCTTGTTTGTAGACGGATTAAATCTCGACACGCCAATTCTTGTAAACTTCTAAAAAGGCATCAGAATCATGTGTTTAACTCTCACAATTCATATTTACCTTCCGATTAACTTATTGTTGACACGGGAGTTAACTGAGTTATAAAACACAAGTATAATAAACCGGATGATTAACTACATGTTCTGATCCTCAAGCTAAAGGGTGATTATTTTACATTTGAATTTATCTTATATTTTGTCTAGAAAATTCTTGAAAAGAATCTTTTATTCTATTCAAAGAAATCTCATAACTTCAAACTCTCAAGATTTTCAGTTACGTAGTCTCTATTACTGCTCACTTCAAAACACCAATCACAGTTCCCTGTGGATTCGACTCCGGACTTGATTGAATTATTACTACAGCTTGACCGTCTGCACTTAGGTGTACACATTTCGGATCAAGTCACGTACCTCGGCTGTAGTTCTGGTTGTAGAGGACCTAAGCGATCCCTGACATTCTCCCTTCTCTTGGGGGATCGTTCTCTATCTCTTCTAGGAGACCTGCTTCTTTCCTTTTTCTTCTGGGACTTCGGTCCCTCTTTTTTCTTCCTTCCCTTTCTCTTTCTGTGATGATGAGCTCCCTACCTTAGAAAGGAAGGCTTACTCGCCATTAATATACTTTTTTGCCTTGGCTAACACCTCTGTCATACTTGCTTGTGGGTTTTTTGATATGGAGAACATCAAGTCTTTTGACTGCTCATAAAACAGTGATGAAAGCAGTGATGACAAATTTCTCATCAGGAACTTCCACCTTTAAGAATTCTGTGTTAAAACCTTTGCACATAGGATCGCAAGTTTTTGTTGGGTCCCTATTTTACATTTATCAGGTGGTAGCTCGGCTTTCGGTAGGTGCGAGATCCAATGAAATGGTACACAAAAGATGTTGAGAGCTCCTTAAAGGAAGCGATTGACGCCAGGAGAAGCCTGTTGAACCATGCCAAGGCTGAGCCTTTCAGAGTGATAGCGAAGGCTCGAACATCGCACAGGGTCCTGATATCTATGTAACTCCATCTGGTTCTTATAGGTATTGAGGTGATCCATTGAATCTTTAGTCCCATCAAAAACGTCTATTTGGGGCATTCTGAATTTTAGAGGAAGGGAGAAATGTAGCACCCCAGCAATGAATAGGGACTCAGTTTGCTGTTCCAAAGTGTCCATCGTCACGGGGGTCTTACCTCTCATGACTTCCTTCATGTGACTAACCTCTTGCTGGATATCCCTGAAACGCTGCTCCTAGTATTGCTCTCTTTTTTCCTACTGGACAAGGAGAAAATCTTTTTTCTTGATCCCTTCATTTTGACTCTGCACTTCTTCGTTTTCACCATTCCTAGGAGGCAGATCGGGAGTGTGGTTATTCTCACCCCCTTTGTTGACTTCCTTGAGGGGGTCGAGGTATCGTTGCTCCCCTTGTGGGGGACCTCCTTGAGCTGATCTTGTCTGTTGAGGACCTTGCAAGAGTTTCAAGATCTCTTTGTTTTACTGAAGCAGACGCTAGTTGACGATGTGAAAAGCCTCCAATTTGTTATTCGTGGGGGGATCCGCCATGGGAGGATTGGCCTCGACAATGGGGGAGAAATCTTGAAGATTCTCCTGTTGCCAACTGCTAGTGACTTCCTGTCGGTTCTGGATCTGTGGAAGGTTCACCTGGCTTCTGCTCATGTGGCGAGTTGAGGCTATCAATTACTGAAATATTAGCATATTTATAACATGAACAATCATTTCTCACAGACAGTGTCAAACTGATGGTGTATAAAACGTGGGTGAGTAGAATGTGATTCGTATAATTAAGATTTGGCTTGAGCTTCTGAGCTCATGAGGATTACGACAAGATCCTTTGGGAAATTGGGATGATTTGCACAAAAAAGTAATAGTGGTTCACCAACTCGGGAGTTCGACTAATCCACTCTTTAATGGAGTCTCTTGTTCTTTGGATCTATAATCATGATTGAAGCGATTTACAAAGTATTTTTTTGATACAACTGGGATGGTTTGCCTCGCATTGGAGGCACTGTACACTATTTATAGTCTAATTCCTAACTTTATGGGATCTACAACGAGATCTTTACCTTCCATCCATAGGCTCTCCCTTATTTTGGGAGAGGATCTTGGTTAGTACAGAGTTTAGCACCTTGATTATAGCTTTATGTTGCTTCGAGGGCGCCTTCCACTAACCAACTGTTTCATTCTCATTTCCCTTCCTGTTTTTTCTGAGGGGAGCTCGGGGTCTGGACCACTGAGCCTTGGATGTCTTATCTGAGCTCCTTGTCAGACCTCACTTCCCCAACTTATACTTGGCTGGAATTCTTTCCAGGTATCATCAATTGTTAATTCTTTTTATTTGGACAATTTAGTTGTTTGTCAAGTGCAATGAAATTTGAATTGCAACATTACTTTTTTTTTTTTATAGCCGTGACATCTGCGATAAAAGAAAAGATGTTAAAGTCTATTATCATTCTTATCCAAAATGCCTATTTGCTTTTTTAACATCTGCATCGCACTAATAAGGGAAAGCCTAACTAGTCTCTTTAGCGTCAAAGAGGTCTTCCACGCTCGGTGTCTCTATCAACTACTTAAAACCACCTACCCATATCTCACCAATCCATATAGGATGAGGTCCCAAACCGTATTAAATTTCACTTTCTTTTTTTCAAATGGGTGGGAGATCAAATGCATAACGAGTGAGTACTTTTTTCAAGAACAAGAAAAGAAGAAAGATAGACAAAAAAAACCTGAAGACCGCGGAGATGGGTGGACGAGTTGTTCTGCAGAGAACGGGCAGAACGAATGGCAGAGTCGGCGGACTCGTGGAAAGTACGTGGAAGATCTTCTGAGATATACGAATGCCATGCTTTCTCTTTCCCTTGCTGCTTCTGCTGCTCCGACGATGATGTCACATCAACCTTCGCCGCCGGCAAATCAGGCTTCTCTTCCATCTTCCTCTCAGCCTCTCTAGTTTCTCTAGTTTCTCTTGCTCTCTGGGGTACAAACGAGAAGCTATGAGAGAAGTGGGCCTTATTAATTCAGATTGAGTCTGGTGGTCCAACTGGTCTATAGGGCGGGTTGGGCTGATTAATTGGCTCTTCGTATTCCCACTTCCATGTGGCTGCCAACAGTAGGGCTGATAATCGAAATTAAAAAATTATTAGTTTGATCTGTTTTAAAAAAATAAGTCAAATTTGAATAAGCCAAAAACGAGCTAAATTCAAGCCGAACTCGAATAGTTCAGTTTGATTAATGTTTATCTTTTTTATAAATAAATTATACTTTGGCCCCTTTAACTATGACGTTGTTATTAAAGGTTGTCATATATTTAATAAAAAATTATTTCATTTTGTCCCCCTAAAATATGTAATTTTTTGACTTTGCCTCGACAAATCATCAATTTTCGTCCAAAAAAATAATGGACGTTTGAGATTGTGGCAATGTGAAATAATCAGAATAGTTGAGGGGCAATATGAAAAATTTAATAGTTCAAGGGGTAAAGTAAAAAAATGGTCATAGTTGAGGGAGTCAAAGTATCATTTATGCCTTTTATATTCAATAAAATATGACCACAAAATACAGTTTTTGTGCCATTATTTGGGAACCTCATGGCCGAAAAAACTCTACAATAGTAAAAATCGAGCACTGATCATGTAATATTTATATTTTAAATAGTAATTATTTTTCTTTAATTATGAAATTTAAAATTAAAGTGAATACAAAGAAAAGAATAGCAAGGTACGGGAGAGATGTGTGTGTGGATTAGTGGGGTTGTTTGACATGGAAGAGTGCGTTAGTTGAGTTAATGTATTTTAGGAGGGAAAAAGTTTTGGAATTAATATTATATCATTTGATCAAAGTAAATAAGAATTGAATCAATTTTAACCGTTATTGTGATTTTATAAATTAATAATCCAACTTGGTAACTGTAAAATTAGATAAATGATCAACGTAATTTTCTTTCGAGAAAATAACCACTAAAACCTATTTTTCATGATAAAACGTCATTGAGTCCTATCAATTTTATAGTATGACAAGTTAAACCCCAATTTTCATAACATAAAATTCTGAGGAGTGAAGTGGATACAAATTCAAATTTAGTATTTTTTCAATCCATTGCAAAAATTCCAGAATAAAATATTACACAATACTCAAATAAACTTTCTCCCGGTCTATACATGTCTAAACAAGTTTAATAATCAAATCAAAAATTTCGAATGCTCTCAATTAATTTTGAAAGTATATAGAAAAGAAAATTTTTCATCCACATCCTATATAGTCAGGTCCAAATTCAATGACACTCCTCCCGTTTCTAAAATTTCACTGTACTCTTGTTTGATTTGTAGTGTAGAATCATTGATACCCCTTAGCCGTTATTTTCGTCTCTAACAGTGGAAAAAATGCACAATTTGACTACCTATTCTTTGAAAATGCCAAACTTATCATTTATTATGTTAATAGACTAAATGTTTGATTAACCCTAAATAATTTGTAAACGAATAAAGTTTTAAAGTTAATTGTATACGTAAATTAGGTTAAAATGATTAAGTTATAAAGTATTAGGGTTAATGCGGAATTTGTACGTTTTGTAGGGTTTCAAGTGAAAATACAAAAATATAGGAGGATTGAAGTGTAGAGGCTAAACGAAAAAGGGGAGGCAAGTGCAGTTACCAAATCAATAAGTCAAGCAAGAAGGCTGCAAAACCAGAGAAATGATAGCGTCTGGGCGATGGTGATGGCGTCCAGACGATGCTCCTACCACCTTAACTCTCTATCCTTTCTCATTGGTCCAATTTAGCAACAAAATGATATGATTGGTCAGTAAGGGTGTTTGCTGCCTTAAAGCCCTCTATCGGTGCCTATAAATAGCCCCTCTCAGCTTATTTTCAGAAGAATTTTAGGAGAGTTTAGTCCAGTGAAAATAGAAGAAAAAAATAAAGAAAGGAAGGAAGAGCGAGGCCCTGCTAAAATTACTTCCCAGCCAAAATTTTCTCTATTTCTACATTTCTGTTTATCTTTTTTACTTGGAGGGTTAAACCTCTCTCACTTTTGTGCCTCTAGCTAGTAATAAGCGTGACAATATTTCAACTATTCCTCAGGGAAGGACTTTTTGTATTTTGTTTTTGATTGTAATGGGATCATCTCATTCCTTTTGCTCATCTATAGCAATGAGGCGAGAGTAGTTCGTTTATACTCTTCAGTGAAGGATGAATGCATGTGTAATACTGTTTATGTTACGGAAATGCCGATATTTTATTTATGCGTTCATGTTTATACCTCCGTTCATTGATAGATGATTATATTTATAATATGTTCATGGTTATGAACACCAAACAAAGCTTAATGCTATATACCATACTATCTATAATTATTACGCACTTCATGCATAATACAGTGATGTACGTAGTTGAGTTTTATGTAACAGTCGGAAGATTGGTTATAGACGGGTTAAATCTCGTCATAGTCAATATTTTTGATTCAATGCATAATCCAGAACTCTATCTTCATTGAATCATCAACCTGCCTATTGGATAGCTAGAGTAAACCTTTTGAATGGTTCTCCTACGGGTTTACTAGGATTATTTGACTATTGCATGGTTCATAGACCTTCTGATTAGCCTAATCAGTTGTCGTGATATGGTTCAATTATACATCAGACCTACCAGGTAGCTTTCCAGGAAAATGGAAGTTAATTGCTGTAAGGTAACATTTTTATAAATAAATAGTATAAAGCATGTTAGATCCTTGCACTGAAGAGTACCTTTTTAACATTATTTTTCAAAGTTTTAGTTAAATGTTTATTTGACAATTCTGAGCTCACACCACAAGTTATTACGTTACACACTACACACCTGATAATTTCACTGTTTTGCTTTGAGTACCGACAATTAAGCTCCTTGTGGGTTCGACCTCGGACTTAACCAAAAAATATTACAATTTGACCACTTATACTTTGGTGTATAACATAAATCAGGTCAGATCAAACTTTTTGGCGCCGTTGTCAGGGAATTACGGTGATTTTGAAACAAACAGGGAAATTGTTTAGCTTGTATTAGATGTATATGCACTTTTTGTTGCATTTTCATTGTTTATGTCTGTTAAGTCATCAGTAGGGTCTGTAAATCAATCTAGTCCTTCATCTTTGTCATCTTCATTATCACAAGCATCGTCTGACTCTTTTGAGTTAAACATGGATAATAATAAGCAAAAGAAACAAGAGGTAGTTCAAAATGTTTGACCTTTAAGAGAATACTTGCATCCCACACGCACTAGTGTCTTGTCATGTTTTGCTTTTCCCACTAATACTCCAAATTTTAACATTAAGGCAGGGACAATACAATTTTTACCCCAATTTCATGGTCTTGAGTCGGAAAACTATATTTGCATATGAAAGAATTTGAGGAAGTATGTGGTACTTTACAAGATAATTCTAAAAATGGCTCGGTTGAAACTTTTTCCTTTCTCTTTAAAGGATAAGGTTAAACAATGGCTAAATTCTTTAAACGCCCAATCTATTCCGAATTGACAAGTTTTGCAAATTGAATTTTTCAAAAAAAAATTCCTGTGCACTGCACTACTGCATTGAGACGTCAAATCATGAATTTTTGTATGAAAGAAGGAGACTTTTTATCAGTGTTGGGAGAGATTTAAAGATCTTCTCCAAGCTTGCCCACATCATGCATTTAAAAGTTGGACTTTAGTTGGTTTCTTCTATGATGCTCTCCCATCTGCACTACGTCAGTTTGTAGAAATGATAGTCCAAGGGGAATTCATGGGTAAGAGTCCCAATGAAGCATTTGAAATTTTTGATACCATTTCGGAGAGTTCCCAAATGTGGGACTCGCCCTCACCAAATATTGTTGAAACTAAGTCATATTCATCCCAATGAGGGAAATACTTGTTAAAAGAGGATGATAACCAAAGAGCTACATAACGCCCCAAAATCCATCTTGGATGACATTACTATTTAAAATCATTTACATCATGAGAGCAACTAATAAAGTCCATAAATAAAGCAAATTCCGTTCATCATACATAATATCTACAACATTATACAAAAGAATATGCCAAACCATGACATCTACATCCAAAAAGAATATGTCAAACTATGACAATTACATCTCAAAATCAAACTTAATCTTGCAACGGAATAAACAAAATAACATCTATCCATTATATCAAAATGCATCTCCTATTCTACGACATGGAGAGATTAACTCTAGACATCCCCCTTGGAATCCACGCTTTCTTTCAATTGCTCTTCCCAAGCTACCTGCTCATCAATTTCGAGCTCTTCATCTAAACCGACATCTGAAAATAAATAGTATTTGTAGGGGGTGAACACTAAACTCTGTAGCAACATCCTTTCAAACTTGAACAAGGTTTAGAAACTTATAAAATAGTTCGATCTCACTTTTCAAAATATCATATATAACTTGAAATAAAACAGTGATAATTTATTCGATCTCAAGTTAACGCAATAACAATAAGTTAAATGAAAAGAATAAACATGTGAAGAAATCAATTAATCATTCAATAGCATCATCTCATATTCTCATGTATGTTGGTTGCTTCCCATGAATCTACACAACGATTATATCTCGTTCACCCATCATAACCACACAAACCACTTTAGGAAGGGCGTATACCGTCTCCCACGATATTGATGAATCCTTTCAAAGAAAGGTATACCATCCCTCAGCCTCGAACTTACGTAAACAATAGTGGTTGCTCTCACAAACAACAATCCATTACAAGTGTTAGGCAACCATCTCACCCCCATTGGGATAGACTAACCTCTAACACTTTACGACAGTTCTCGAATGCAATTCAAGTTTATCACAACAAACCATACAAGATGCAAGAGATACAATACCAACCAATTTCTCAATTCACCAGTAAATCAAAAACCCTCAATTCCATAGGTATTTCTCAAATCACAAGTAATTTT